CTGGGGGGGGGGGGTTTCCATCATTTATTGGACCTGATTTTTACGATATGTTTTTCTATGTCCACGTGTTCCGGTGGTTCCAATATGCTTTGATAAATTTATAGTGTTTTTTACTATTGGGAATATTATTTATGTTTTTAAATGTTTTATTATTATTTTAGGTGTACGAGTGTATTGCCTGCATGTATGTGAGTGCACCCGTGTTGTGCAATGCCATGGAGGTCAGAAGAGGGTTTCGGATTCCCCTGAAACTGGAGTTAAGGACGGTTCGTAGCCACTATGTGGGTGCTGGGAATCGAACTTGGGTCCTCTGCAAGAGCAGTCAGAGCTCTTAACTGCTGAGCCATCTCTCCAGCCCAGGGAATATTATTTATTTATCAGTCTGTGTCTTGTAGGTGGTGCGTGGTACCAGGCAGGTGGTTTGTTTACATGCCCACCAAGGTGCAGAGGCCTTTGCATTCAGAATGAATTTAAATGCCACTTGTAAAACAGAGCCACTAGGGCTGAAGCGATAGCTCAGCAGTTAAGAGCACTGGCTGCTCTTTCAGAGGACCCAGGTTCAGTTCCCAGCACCCACATGGCAGGCAATACATTCATACAGAAAATCTTTTGTATGCTTTTAACCACTGAGCCATCTCTCTAGCCCCAATAAAATATTTTTCTTAATAAAAATAAAATGGAGTCACCCAGCGCAAGGCAGCACTGGAAAAACCACTGTTGTATACAGTATAGGGTAACTTAAAGCAAGACACAGACTCATCTAAACAGTTGGTGTTGGTAGTAACTGATTAGAGCCCTTGAACTCAATGACTTAGGCCTGTTTTCTCACCCAAACATATGCTAAATAACTTATTAAGCATTTTTGTGTTTCTTATTACTATAAAATTATAACAGACATCTGATTCTTGCTGGCCTTGAACTCCTTGTGTAGCCCAGGCTGGCTTCTAACTAAAGGTGTTCCTATCTAAGGATAAGCCATTGCACTTCTTTTATTTTTTAAAAGAAGTTCCATTTTCTTTCTTTTTTTTTTTCTGAGATTTTTTTTTTCCAGGCTGGCCTTGATTTCACAGAGATCTGCCTTCCTCTACCTTCTGAGTGTTGTGATTAAAAGCTTGCACCACCACACCCAGCTATTTCTTTGTGTGTGTGTGTGTGTGTACCATGTGCATGCAGGTGCCCACAAAGGCAAGAAGAGGACATTGAATCACCTGGAACTAGAATTACAGGTAGTTGTAAGCCATCCAATATGGGTGTTGGAAACCAAACCTGGGTCCTCTGCAAGAACAGGAAATGCTCTTAACTACTAAGACATTGCTCCAGTTCCCCTTTGAGCTTTTTGAGTTTAGATGCTAACAGCTTCCCCAAATTGGGGGGTTTTCAGCCATTATCTCTTCACATAAATTCATTGTCCCATTCTCTCTCTGTTGTCCTAGGGCTTGATCAAATTCACTTCTAAGTAATTCCAGCACTTGGGAGACAGAGGCAGGCAGATCCCTGTGAGTTTAAAGCCAGCCTGGTCTACAGGGAGACCTTGTACAAAAAAAAAAAAAAAAAAAAAAAAAAAAAATCACTTCTAATAAATTTTCAGTTAAGTTTTTGTATTCTTCAGCTCTACTCTGTTTTTTTTTTGTTTATTTGTTTGTTTGTTTTTTTAGTTTCCACCTCTTTGTTGATATTCCACTTTTGTTTCATCACTTTCCTGATTTTTTTTTTTTTTTTTTTTGGTTTTTTTGGTT